ATTATTAACGGACTAATCTTTAAATCTACAGTATAGTGAGATCTGTAGTTTAATCTAGAAAGGACTCAAGGAAATTTATTCTGTGAATTGCATAATATTAAATACCACATTTGTAATGTAAACAGTTCAAAGTATTTTGAACTGGAGTTAGAACAAAATATGTTTTAGTCTTTTTAAAAATGATATATTGTAAGATTAAAGAGCGACAAGCTATATTTTTTTAGCACAGCACACAAAAGATACCACAAACGATAAATGATTGGTTGGATTTACTATAAATGTACTAAATTAGTAACTTTTCAAATAAAAATATGGGCAGCTTTTTAAAATATTAGAAGAAATATTATTATTGGAAAGTGTCAAAAAAACAAGGAAATGCAATTTTGCACAAGATAAAGCATTGAACGAATAGCTAAAAAAAAAAAACAATGGAACAAAAATGATCATGTTGAAAGTATTGGAATGTCAATAGAATACATTTATGACTTTTATTTGTTTAGTTGATCCAAATAAGATTACTAGGACATGTAAAGTTTTGATACAATAATATAATATATATTTTTTCTTTTTTCTTGCAGAGCTTATGAGACTTCCAAAATGTATCGGGATCTGAAGCTAAGAGGAGCTCTTATTCAGAATAAGCAGCTGAGGCTTCTGCCACAAGAGCAGGTTTATGACAAAATTAATGGAGTCTGGAACCTGTCTAGTGATCAGGTATTTTCAGTGGATTTACACTATTATTATTTATTTTTTTTAGTAGGAATTTAAAACTTGTTTATGTAACCTTAACCTTTATACTTTCCTCGGGTCATTTTGACCCGAAATTCATTTTCTTTTAATTCTTAAAAGTTGAGTGTTCATTGGAGAGGTCAATTTTGTCTCACTTGAAATTGGAATACCTACAAAAAAATTACTGGATTCAAGGTGATTTTGTGGATGTGATAAAAAATAGTAATAAATCCTTTCCTCATGGGTCAATTTGACCCCCAAAGAAATGAATGGAAAATGTGGAAAATATTTTTTTTATTTAAAATCTGGCTCAATCCAGAACACTCACACGCACGCACAGATGAAGGGGTGAGACCATAAAACATCCCCAATGCAGAACACCCGCATGCATACACACACATGTACACACAAACACACACCAAGAAATTGCCTTGAAAATAAATGGGGCAAGGTGTTTTTTGTTTTTTTTCAATTTTCAAAAAAAGATCAAATACTCATTTGCTCCATGTAGACTAGACTAGAGCTTTACGGCCATCTAGTGGCAATAGTCATGAAATGCCATGTTATATATATTTTCTTTCCTAAATAGCTCAGCAGATACACCCAATGCAGGATTGTTTAACTAAATGTTTTATTTTATTTGCAGTTATTTTATTTGTATTTAAGAATGTGCTTATTTGTTTTGTTAAAATAAAGTAATTTGGAGGTAAATAAAAGAATAAATAACAACAAAAAAAAAACATCTCCCAGGAAAAGTTAAATTTTGACCCGCGAGGGAAGGATGTGTAATGCACACGAGAGGAGAGCAACTAAGCATCCCCTTGTGTTTCAGGGTAATCTTGGAACGTTTTTCATTACTAACGTGAGGATAGTGTGGCATGCCAACATGAACGAGAGCTTCAATGTCAGCATTCCCTATCTACAAATTGTGAGTGTTTCTTCTGCCTTAAAAAGTCAAAGAATGAGCCCTCAGTAATGAGTTGTATCAATAAAAACCATGCTTTCTTTTCTTATCCCTTTGTTTGAAGCGCTCCATAAGGATTAGAGACTCTAAATTTGGACTAGCTCTTGTGATTGAGAGCTCTCAACAGGTAAGTGTGGGCCAGGATCCAGATCGCCAGAAAAATCATGTGACACTGAAGACTGGAGTAATGATGCTGAAAATTCAGCTTTGATCACAGGAATAAATTTCTTTTTAAATAAAATTAAAAAAAAAAAGTTTAAATTGTAAAAATATTTCACAATATTACTGTTTTTACTGTAATAAATAAAATGCAGCCTTGGTGAGCACAAGAAACTTCTTTCCAAAAACACTTTAAAAAAACCTTACCGACCCAAACTTTGGAACTGTTTTCCATGTGTATTTAATTCCCTGGTGTGAATTAAAGTCAAAATTGAATTTTATTTTTTTTCATCTCTCAGACAGGAGGATATGTGCTGGGTTTCAAGATCGATCCAATGGACAAGTTACAAGATGCAGTGAAGGAAATCAACTCCTTACACAAAGTCTACTCTGCAAACCCCATTTTTGGAGTGGAATATGAGATGGAAGAGAAGGTAATAACGAATATGTGTGATAATATTGAAAACAGTTGTTTTGGAACTGTATTGGTATTCCATTCTGAGTTGTATTTAAAACACCATTAGCCGAGGTGCATCTCTGTTACCGATGCCTCCACTTTTCTGTAAATCAAAGGCAAATACTGTTGCCATCCATAATATATGAATAAATGATCTTTCTTCTCAGCCTCAGCCTCTGGAGGAGCTGACCGTAGAGCAGCCGCCTGATGACGTGGAGATTGAGCCAGATGAGCACACTGATGCTTTTACCGTGAGTTTTACCTCATATGCTACTCTCAGAGATAATGACTCTCCGCTTTCAACACATGGCGGGTGTGTGTTTGTCTCACATGCTGAAAATAGCTGACGGCTTAAGCCGCGACTCACAATGTCCCACCAACACAGACTTTTGTTGCCAGGTATCAACAATGTTTACGCAGAGGTCTGATGATTCTGACATGGTAAATGGTAAATGGACTCCATTTATATAGCGCTTTCATAGACCCAATGGTCACCAAAGCGCTTTACATTTGCCTCACATTCACCCTTTCATACACTGATGGCGAAATAAAATGAAAAATCTATGAATTGGAAAAAACAAAAAAACAAATATATGACATTGGAAAAGACATTGGAAGTTCTTTATCTAATATTTACCTTATATTTTAATTACATAGATAATCACTAATTTTTTGTCTCTTTTTCATCTCAAGGCTTATTTTGCAGATGGAAATAAGGTAAATATATTGTCTATCTGTCCATCTATCTATCCATCTGTATGTCTATAGATCCTTTTAAATGACATTTTTGTCCTCTCCTTAAGCAACATGATCGTGAGCCGGTGTTTTCTGAAGAGCTGGGTCTGGCTATAGAGAAACTGAAGGATGGATTCACACTACAGGGACTCTGGGAAGTCATGGGTTAAAATACCCGAGCACTCTGTACAGTTACTGTATGTATTGCATAGTTTGTTACATTGTTTACATCAAATATCAAGAATTTTGTAATTAGCTAAATTTGCATTTATTTCCAGAATATTTATTTGCTATTTGACAATTACATATGTTTACAAATCATATTTTAACCATGTGTAAGTTGAGAAAAAAAAATATCAATGTATGCATATAAATAAATACAATTATATAGTGTATGTATATTTGTACATTAGGAACTGTAAGCTTGTTTTGTGTAGAGAACTTTACAAGCTAATTTTGCTATTGTGTTGTAATAAAAGTATGAGAGAATGTGAAATAGGACATTTTTTTGTGTGTGTTTAATCCGTTTTTCAATACCCGTTTAAGCGGTTTTGATAGCCGTGGCCTGATCAAACATCACATTCTGTTTTTAGCTTGGGTTTAACAAAAAGAGCTCAACTACATCACCAATGACCAGAGGCGCTAATAATTGCGTTCTGGCTTCACGGCAGCTGTTGTTTGCTGACCCTTTAAGCAACAAAATATTTAAAAAATCATTATTTACTCACCTTCATGTTGATCCAAACGTGTGTGCGGTTGTTTTTCCTGTGAAACAAAAATGTCAAATTAAATTTATTTCCTACTTACGAGGCATTTAATAGGCTGCAAAGCACCAAAAAGAACAAACATATACCCAATAGATAGCATAAATTTAGTCATTTTTGGCTGAACATTTCCAGACGTGGATTAAGGCTAAAACCCGAATGAGTCAGAACTATAAACTCTTTTTTGAGAGTCGTACAAATGAGGGCACATGCAAAACAAAAGTAATGACACACACCTATATGATTTTTTAAAACCCTTAGACATCTGTTGAATTCCTACTAATGCGTCACTCTCAAACACGCACTCATTTTCCCTTGAGCAAAACACCCCTGACCTCTGAGTGTGTCCAGTTGTCTTTTTTAGTCTTTGACAGCTGCCTGATGCGGCTCCCGTTTAGTCAGCCTGAATTCTTTCTGACGGTATGAGGGGTTATATTTAGAGGGGTGTACTTAAATTGCAGGGGGTTTGTGTTGGTGCTGTGTTATTTCAGCCTCTTGCACACTTGAGACGGCGAGACAAGAGGAAGTACCGCATCCTCTTTGAGACCTGCAATCTTTGAGATGGATCCAGTGAGTATCAAGGAGGACCTGAGGCTCTTTCAGAGCACTCTTCTCCAGGATGGTTTAAAGGAACTTCTGAAGGAGAACAAGTTTGTGGATTGTTTTCTAAAGGTTGGAGATCGGAGTCTTCCCTGCCACAAACTCATAATGGCGGCGTGCAGCCCGTACTTTCGAGAGCTGTACTTTACTGAGGACGGGGTTGAGAAGAAAGACTCCAGCAAGGAAGTCGTGCTGGAGAACGTGGATCCCGCCATTATGGAAATGATTGTGCACTATCTCTATTCCGCAGACATCGAAATCACAGACGAGAACGTGCAAGACATCTTCGCAGTCGGCAACAGGTTTCAGATCCCATCTGTTTTCACCATTTGCGTCAACTATCTACAAAACAAGGTGTCTTTGGGGAACTGCTTGGCCATCTACAGAATGGGACTGGTTTTGGACTGCCCAAGGCTCGCTGTGTCCGCTAGGGACTTCATAGCGGAGCGTTTTGAGACTTTGTCCAGGGAAGAGGAATTTCTCGAGTTCACCGCTCCTGAGCTGTTCGCCATCATCGGGTGTGATTCTCTGAACGTGGAGAAAGAAGAGGTCGTCTACGAGCTCTTGATGAAATGGGTCCGGAAGAACAAGGAGAACCGGGCGATCGCTTTGGGAGATGCCTTCGAGCACATCCGCTTCCGACTACTCCCGGAGAAATACTTCAAGGAGAAAGTGGAGAAGGATGACATCATCAAGGCCGACCCTGAGCTCCTCAAGAAGCTGAATACCATCAGGGAGGCTTTTGCTGGAAAACTTCCACAAACGAAGGATGGTGCGAAAGGTGAAGGCGAAGAAGAGGGAAATAAATTGCCCGGTTTTCTGAATGACAACAAACGGTTGGGGATGTTCACCAGGGATCTCATACTGATGATAAGTGACACGGCGGCTGTGGCCTACGATGCTAATGAAAACGAATGCTTCCTAGCGGCGATGGCAGAGCAGATACCGCGAAACCACGTTAGCATTACGTCAAAGAAGAACCTGCTCTATGTTGTGGGAGGGCTGTTTGTGGATGAGGATGATGAGGATTCCCCACTGCAGTGTTATTTTTATCAGGTTAAGACGGTCATTTATAGTATAATGGTCTTTTCAAAATGTCTCGTTCTCCTTGTAACAATAATGAAGGTGTTTTGCAGGAAATCTAGTTTACACTCAATCAAAAAAAAAAATCTGGTTTTATCATATTTTAACCCCTTTGAAAGGGAATTAGAACTGCTTTTAACTCTGGTACTGTCAAACTCACAGAATATGCACAGGTTTGCCTCATTATATAATTATATATAAAACGTTTTGCAACCATATTAAATATTCACATTCATTAGAGGAAGCCCAATAAGAATTTTATTTATCGAATATATATTTTCTGGCCGCATAAATCAGAATTTTATCCCAGGATTTACAATGTACAGTACGAAACATTATTTATATAATATAAATGGCTATATATATATATATATATATATAATTTTATAAATGTATATAATTTTTAATTTTATTTTAATGTATTCCATTTTCATTTTAGCTAAAGTTTTAGTAAATTTGTTATGTTTTTATGTCTATAGTTTAGTTTTAGTTATTGTTATGGAAGATGGTTTCCGCAACTGAATAAAAAAAATGTATCATAATTGCAACTTTTTGTCTCACAATTGCGAGAAATGAAGTCAGAATTGTGAGACATAAAGTCGCAATTCTGAGAAATAAATTCTAACACAATTGCGAGTTTATATCTCGAAATTCTGACAACTTTTCTCAAAATTGTGAGATATAAACTCATATCACGCAATTCTGACTTTATATCACGAAACTCTGACTTCTTATCTTGCAATTGTGAAAAATAAAGTCAGAATTGCAAGATGTGAACTCGCAATTGTTTGAAATAAAGTCAGAATTGAGAGATAAAAAGTCGCAAATTACCTTTTTTATTTTTCATTCTGTGGCGGAAACAAGCTTCCATATTATGTAGTACATCAAGTTAAACTAAAATGAAAATGTGAAATGTTGCCTTAATATTTTTTATTATTTTTTTTAGATATTGTTTATTTTATTTCAAGTAACAATAATGTTTTATGGTGTTAGTTTTAGTTCAGAATGACTCGGATGATTAACATTTTCTAGTGTGAAAATCTCATTTTTGTGTTCTATAGTGGTTTGGAATGACATAAGGGTTAGTAAATGATGATACGATGAACTATTCATTCAATTGCATGACTGCATATTTCTAGGAACCAGAATTAAATGGAAAGGCATGTGTACGAAGGCCTATATCACCAGGAAGAATAGAATGAAAGTTATTTACATTTGTAAATCAATTAAAATCATCCATTTTGTTCAGCTGGACACTCATTCTCCAAACTGGATTGCCCTGCCCCCGATGCCATCGCCCCGGTGTCTGTTCGCCATGGGCGAGTTTGAAAACTTCTTGTTTGCAGTTGCTGGCAAAGACCTGCAGACCGGCGAGTCTCTGGACTCAGTGATGTGTTATGATGTTGAGTAAGTTTCTTCTACATTTTCTGCTTCAAACATAAACCACAAAACTAATTATGTTTTGCTGTTCTTGGCAGTAAGATGAAGTGGCTGGAGACCAAAAAACTGCCCTTAAGAATTCACGGTCACAGTGTGATCTCACAGAACGGACTAGTTTACTGCATAGGAGGAAAGACGGATGAAAAGTAAGTCAAATTTGAGTTGAGATGAGATTAAATACAAAATAAAAGCCTGAGATAAAGTGGCATTGCTTGTTTTCATCTCTGGAATAGTAAAACCATCAACAAGATGTTTGCGTACAACCACAAGAAGTCAGAATGGAAAGAGCTGGCGGACATGAAGACACCCAGGTCCATGTTTGGAGTCGCCATCCACAAAGGAAAGATCATTGTGGTTGGAGGAGTCAATGAAGATGGCCTTTTAGCCTCTTGTGAAGCGTATGACTTTTCAACAAACAAGTACGTATTAATCACTTGTTGTTTTTATTGATATTTAATCCTCAAACACAATTTTTAAAAGGCTTACAGATGCTCTAAATTAAACCTAAAGTTACCCAGCGCTTAGTGAATGATTAAAAGTTAGCTTGCAATTTTTTTCAGCTAGCCTATATTTTGAAATACTGACATTATACAGTCATAATATTTAACACCTATTACAGAATAGATGTTAAACATCACAGAATTCTGCAAATCTATTGATAACACTTTCTGATTTGAGCCATTGTTTTCCCTCCAAAATAATGTCACTTCCTGGAGGATGATGTCAGAAAGGAACTGGCTTTTGTTAAAGTGATATTACATAGATTGACAGGATTGAAAAATAAAATCCCAGCCAACAATTTTTGGTTTCAAAAACGTTCCCTAAATGTTAGTTTTTAGTTCCCAGAACGTATTTTTTTTAAGGTTTGTTTTTGGGCTATCTTTACTACAATATCATTACCGCTGTAACCGGCCTACATGGGTATTATAAAATAACCTAAAAATAGCCGTTGTGAAACGTTAACATTCTGTTTAAGTTAATTTTAGATTATTTAAAAATAACCCCTAGTGACATTTTGGGAACATTATTTTAGGGTTGCAAAAACAAAACAAACAAAAAAACTAAAAAGAACATTCCTTGAACGTTATTATTTGGTCCTGAAATAAAATGGGAAACCAAACTGGAAGCAAATACTATCATATTCTGTTTGTTTTTGTTTTTTTTGGTGGGGGGGGGGGGGGATTCGAGGGCAAATCTATAAAATCATCACCGATTAAAACAATATTTCCAAGAAAACATGTTTTATTTAAAATATTTTGATTAGAGAAAGAACATTGAAACAAAAACTGGAATTTTTCTTTTTTTATTATTAAAAAAGTTGGATAACAATGACAAAAATCAGTAGTTAAATTATTAGGTTTTGAGGTGTTGTGGCATTTATCTTATGGGATACGGCAGATGTTATCCTCCACAAATCTATCAAAATCAGTTAAAACCATGTTGTTTTTCCCAATAGATGGGAGGCGTTCCCTGAGTTTGCTCAGGAGAGAAGCTCTGTGAATGTGGTCAGTTCTGCTGGTGTGCTGTACGTGGTGGGCGGCTTCACTGTGAAGGAGAACGATGACAAACAGTGTGTCCCGTCAGAAATCACAGACATCTGGCAGTAAGTGTTCTGCTTGACACACATCTGAATTATATTCGTCTTAAAGGAATAGTTCACCCAAAGAACGCATTACCAGAAGCTGGCGATTATACACTCACATAAAGGATTATTAGGAACACCTGTTCAATTTCTCATTAATACAATTATCTAATTAACCAATCACATGGCAGTTGCTTCAATGCATGTAGGGGTGTGGTCCTGGTCAAGACAATCTCCTGAACTCCAAACTGAATGTCAGAATGGGAAAGAAAGGTGATTTAAGCAATTTTGAGCGTGGCATGGTTGTTGGTGTCCGAGTATTTCACAATCTGCTCAGTTACTGGGATTTTCACGCACAACCATTTCTAGAGTTTACAAAGAATGGTGTGAAAAGGGAAAAGCATCCAGTATGCGGCAGTCCTGTGGGCGAAAATGCCTTGTTGATGCTAGAGGTCAGAGGAGAATGGGCCGACTGATTCAAGCTGATAGAAGAGCAACTTTGACTGAAATAACCACTCGTTACAACCGAGGTATGCAGCAAAGCATTTGTGAAGCCACAAGACACACAACCTTGAGGCGGATGGGCTACAACAGCAGAAGACCCCACCGGGTACCACTCATCTCCACTACAAATAGGAAAAAGAGGCGACAATTTGCAAGAGCTCACCAAAATTGGACACTTGAAGACTGGAAAATGTTGCCTGGTCTGATGAGTCTCAATTTCTGTTTGAGACATTCAGATGCTAGAGTCAGAATTTGGTGTAAACAGAATGAGAACATGGATCCATCATGCCTTGTTACCACTGTGCAGGCTGGTGGTGGTGGTGTAATGGTGTGTGGTATGTTTTCTTGGCACACTTTAGGCCCCTTAGTGCCAATTGGGCATCGTTTAAATGCCACGGCCTACCTGAGCATTGTTTCTGACCATGTCCATCCCTTTATGGCCACCATGTACCCATCCTTTGATGGCTACTTCCAGCAGGATAATGCACCATGTCACAAAGCTCTAATCATTTCAAATTGGTTTCTTGAACATGACAATGAGTTGACTGTACTAAAATGGCCTCCACAGTCACCAGATCTCAACCCAATAGAGCATCTTTTGGATGTGGTGGAACGGGAGCTTCATCACAATTGAATCGTGGTTTCCACAAAATTAAACAGCACAACATTGAAAATAATCAGAAATGTTTCTTGAGCAGCAAAATCATCATATTAGAATGATTTCTGAAGGATCATGTGACACTGAAGACTGGAGTAATGATGCTGAAATTTCATCTTTGCATCACAGATATAATTTAGATTTTAAAAGATTTTCAAATAGAAAATAGACTTAATTGGTGAGCAAAATAAATGTCATGAAAATCTTACCAACCCCAAACTTTTAAACGGTACTGTAAAATTGTTAAAATCAAATCATAAAAATATTATGATTTAAACAAGTGTATACTTCTAACTGGGATTCATCTAAAATCGCTCTTTTTTTGACAGGTATGAGGAGGACAAGAAACAGTGGGCTGGAATGATACAAGACATGCGATATGCTGCCGGCGCCTCTTGTGTTTCTATGAGACTAAATTCAGCAAAGATGCCTAAACTTTAAAAACATCATCACTGTCACTGATTGTATCCAATAACAAACTGTAACTATATTTTAAAATATCATAAACCACACAAAAATGATAATTAATTGCACTATTTAATTCTTTCCCCGCCAGCATTTTTGATCATTTTCACACAAAAAATATATTTTGAAAAAAATATATTTTGTTGTATAAATATCTGAACCTACAATACGTCAGAAGAAAGAAGAGAATCCTCTTTACAAAAAAAACAAAAAAAAAACAAAAAAAAAAACACTATTACACGTGTGTCCTTGTGTAATAGCACCCCCTACAGACAGTGGAAACATGGATTGCCAGAAAATTGTCAATGGCAGGGAAAGAGTTAATGCACATTCCCTGACTTTATATGTTTTAATCAAAATGTAACAAGTTTCCTTTTAGGCTGACATTACAAATCATCCATCACTTCATAACAGAGGTAAAATGCAAGCAAACGGTTTTTCATGTTGACCTTCAACATAAAAATGACCTGATTTATATGCATGTTGGGTTCTGTTATAAATGTGGTGCAGCTGAGGAAAACATATGTCAAAATGAAATGTACAGTGTTGTCTTGCAGCTCAAATGAAGGATAACCTGATGTTCAAACCTTTCATAGTGTCTCCCTGCTGCTGATTGCACTAAAAGTTTTAATGTCCAGTTTAGATAATGTCTCAGGGCAACTCTGTAAATATTTTCTTCCTGAGATATTCTTTCCAAGCATCTTCTGTGGAAAGCTCCATTGAGTTCCATTCAAAGTGGGGAATCTGTAGAAATGCATATTATCAGCAAAAACACACTTTTGTCATGCAAATAGTATGGGTGTGAAATATAATATCTTTCTACTGACCTGTAATACTTGATATCCTAAAATCTCCAGATGTCTTTTCTTCATCATGGCCTCCCCTTTCATGTGCCGGGAATTTTTGCAGAAGGATTTGGAGTCCAAGAACTCTAATGCAATGCTAGGCAGATGAAGTAGCAGGGAGAATTATGTTACGTCTGAATATTACGTGTTGTTTTGCACATTGAAGCATGACATACCGGCGAGCTCCTGGCGGCAGATCTGTCCTCTCTCTGTCTGCTGATACAGACTGCCAGTGAACGTTTCCGTTCTCGCTGATCTGCAGCTGACTCGGCTCGCTGTACGGTACCGGCTGGAGGTGACGATCCAGGACAAGTTCAAAATCTGATGACATAAACATTACAGTTTTCATGAGCTTACAGAGACAGCAATGCTGTATCTAGAACTGTCATCCTGTACAACTGTGTTTTTAGTCAATGAAATATTACGATGGAACGGAGTGAATCAATTCAACTCGTATAGTATTTAATGCTACATAACACCCCATAACTCAACAAACCATATTGATGGGTAAAATAATGACTAGATTAGATAGATAGATAGATAGATAGATAGATAGATAGATAGATAGATAGATAGATAGATAGATAGATAGATAGATAGATAGATAGATAGATAGATAGATAGATAGATAGATAGATAGATAGATAGATAGATAGATAGATAGATAGATAGATAGATAGATAGATAGATAGTTAGATAGATAGACAGACAGACAGACAGACAGATAGATAGACAGAGAGATAACAATAAATTATATATATAATATATTATAAAAATAATTTACTAAAAAACATTTTCAGTTAAAACAGATGAATGAAATATAAAATAAAAAAATTAAATAAAAAACATTTTCAGTTAAAATAGATGTTGGACCTTAGACCTTTATATTTATAAAAGCCAAAAGCAATCCCCGTATTTGTTTCAATTAAAGTTAAATTTAACCATCAAAGGATGGGGAAAAATATTTTATATTTATTAAATATTTTAAATATGAGACAAGTACAAAATACTAAACTTGGTTAATGTACAATCTGACCAAAAATATATTTGGTAGAAAAGGCAAACAGCTACATATATATATATATATATATATATATGAAGAGTTCAGATGCAAAAGCCTCCAAATGCCATTTGAAATTTTCTTCTTTAATGATGATTTTTATCAAACTTGTATATTTAAGTTCAGTAATTTCACTTAAATGGCAATGATAGTGAAATTACTGAACTTAAATATATAAGTTTGATAAAAATCATCATTAAAGAAGAAAATTTCAAATGGCATTTAGAGGCTTTTGCATCTGAACTCTTCATATATATATATACACACAGACACACACACACACATATATATATATATATATATATATATTTCAACACTGTTAGGATTAAATAATGTGGACTATTTTACTTGTTCCACTCGTTTAAAACTCACCGACAGTATAGAAGTATGGAGTCAGCACTCCGACTTTAGCACAGTTGATCCCACCCAGGACGTCTCCGAGCATCTTATGGATCTGCTGCTGAATCGGACTGATCGAGCTGTTGGCTGCCGTGCGAAAAACATTATTCAACTATTTGAACCAACCAGACTTTTAATTAAAAAAGTTAAGTCTTACATTAAACATTTCAATCTATTTGACTACCATTATGCTTTCTTTGATAAAAAAAGTTATTTCAAAATACATAAATATTGATATATACAAGTGAAACGCGAAAAATTAGAATATCGTGCACAAGTTATAATTTTGATGATTATGGCTTACAGCTTATGAAAACCCCAAATTCAAAATCTCAGAAAATTAGAATATTACATGAAATCAATAAAAAAAAAGATTTTAAATACAGAAATGCTGGTTCTCTGAAAAGTATAATCATGCATATGTCTAGTTAAATATACTTAATATATTAGTTTAACCTTTTAATTTGAATTACTGAAATACATGAACTGTTGCACGATATTCTAAATTTTCGAATTTCACCTGTACACTTTCAATTGTAATAATATTTTACAATATTACTGTTTTTCCTGTATTTTTGATCAAATAAATGCATCCTTGGTGAGCATAAGCGACTTATTTTAAAAATATATATTTTAAAAATCTTACTGACCCCAAACTTTTGAACAGTTGTGTACAAATCTTATCAAATGGTTAAAAATGATTGTAATAATTATTTTAGCTAATGTGTACCAAGCACAAATGCTTTCAGATAAGAACTGCTTTCCAATTCTAATATTTCTACGGTCCAATTGTAGTCCGTTCCCGTTATCCAGCTGGATCTACGGTGTGCTCACCTCTCTTCTGCAGCCATTTACAGTAGCGCTCATGAAACCAGGGCACCTGGAACTCAGGACACTCCAGACACACGGCCCGATTCAGCTCCATGAGATGCAGACGTATGCGCATGTTCTGAGCATCTGGCAAAGCTGGAAAAAACACACATTTGTAAAGTTTTAGGAGGGACAACCACATTTAAACACTGGAATGAGTCCCCTAAACTATCGTTCTGTGTGTGTACTAGAGGTGTAACGGACGGCAGACTGTTTGTGCGCTGCGGCGGTTTGCGTGACACTAACGTGAAACCAGACTTCATTCGCCACAATGGAAAGTATATTTACACTATCTGAAACCCTATTTAGTGCACTATTCACCATGTAGAAACTAGTAAATGTGTGAACAAGTGACTGATTTCAGCCGCAGCTTCAGCATCTATTTATAATGTAGGCGGCGGACGCTTTAGATTCAAGAGCATTTGATTGGACAGAAAATCTGATGAGAAGCTGAAGTGCAGAGTGATGTCATATTGGCAGAAGTGAGAGACTGTACAATTTGAAAGCTTATATATCTGTTTTGGAGCACGCTAGCTTATAGATTTTTATTTTTTATTGCTATTTATTGATTTTGTGATATTTTTTGGAACTGTTTTTAACCCTACAACTGTAGCACTTTGAGATTTCGCAGAAATGTAAAGCGCACTATAAATAAAATGTATTATTATTATTATTAGATACCAGTAAAACTAACATATTCATACTTAACCCCCAAAAATTGCATTTTTATTTCATGGGGACTTTAATAATAATAAAAATAATCCCTCTTTTTTCCCCCCTCTGTACTGAAAATGCATCGAAACATAACTTCAAAACCGACTTATGAACCGAACCATCATTTTTTTGTACCGTTACACCAACTGGACTCACTCCCGAAACTGTTTTGTTCATTCTTGGCCAAAGATGTCTCTTTCAGACCTTCAAGATACATTAATTATATAACTGTTTACGTTATCTAATCTCAGAAATACACATACTTTCCAGATGGGCATCCAACTTTGCAAGAAAGTCCACGTTGAAGATCTCTCTGACCACCTCCTCAGGGAAATAATCCGCCATGGCCAGTGCGTACGCCAGGAGAACCAGCATTTGAGGGTCAATGGAGCCTGTTTACATCACCAGGAACAGGTTACGATGTGCCTTTTAAATTTTAGAAACAACTCATCTATATATGCACAGTGGAAGGATCTTACTATATGTGGAGTGAAATGTCGAATACAGGCATAAAAAACTCATCTACAGATGCACAGCGTAAGGATCTTACTAATATGTGGAGTAAAATGTTGAATACAGGCATCTAAAAACTCATCTATAGATGCACAGCGTAAGGATCTTACTAATATGTGGAGCAAAATGTTGAATACAGGCATCTAAAAACTCATCTATAGATGCACAGCGTAAGGATCTTACTAATATGTGGAGTAAAATGTTGAATACAGGCATCTAAAAACTCATCTATAGATGCACAGCGTAAGGATCTTACTAATATGTGGAGTGAAATGTCGAATGCAGGCATCAAAAAACTGCTCCGCCGTTGGAGGGTCATAATTCAGCTTAGCAAAAGGCAGCAAAGTGGCATATATTGCAGAGTAATGAATCTGTTTGGAAGAGACAGACATACACTTGTTTTATAACAGATGGTTCTGATGTATTTTGCATATTAATTACAAGAGAAAATGTTTCTTGAGCAACAAATCAGCACAGGATCATGTAACACTGAAGACTTGAGGAATGATGCTGAATAAATTACATTTTAAAATAATATTAAAAAAGAAAACGGTTATTTTAAAATTTCAAAATATTAGCATTTTTACTGTTTTTTTATTTTTATTAAATAAGTGCATCAAAAACATTTTGGAAAAAAAATTAAAATCATACCGACACCAAACTTTTGAACAGCAGTGTATGCATCTCATTAAATAAATTTGAAATAATATCCTTCACTATATTTTGTGTAGTAAACAATGGTTTCAATAGAAACATTAACAACCCCAGAGCTCATTGCAGATCTGTCCTGAAATGTATTTTTCTCCATGGTGGAAAT